ATGCCCCCTCCCCACAGCAGGGCGGATGAAACAGGACCCACCAGGGGCTCTGCTTTTCGCTGGGACCTGGGAAACTGGCCCCTGCAGTACCACAAGCCTTGGAGAAAACGGAACCATTTGTCCCTTGGTTTGGAACGACCACCACTGCCACCATCTCCAATCCAGGCCATAGGCAGAAGAAAGGGCACCTCAACTCTTGGACTGACTTCTGGGTCCCAGAGGTCACTGTGAGGCCAGGGAGGCTGCTGATGGCCACTAGAAAACTGCTGGCCCTCCTTGGCTCTCCCCGTTCGAAGGCCCTGTGAGGAATCCTGACCGCTGGGTCCAGCCGGCGGGCCCCCATCACCGGCTCCCAGCAGCCCTTACTCCTGGGGCTCTGAGCCCAACCCCCAGGGAGAACTCCCCTCGCCGTCCTTCACCCTGACATATCCAAACGAGTCTCCCCACTCCCTCGCATCTCCCAGCCAGAGGTACACAGGACTCCAGTGCTTTTCAGCAGGTAAAAAAATTTTAATCAGTTTCTTTTTTGCTTATTACAGACTGTGGACATAGATTTTAAAATCAAATACGAAAAACAAAAAGAAAAGTAAAACTTACCCACAGTCACTTTCTCCTTCTTTTGTGGTTCAGTAACGTTTACCATGTTTATAACCATCTTTAGGTGGCAGGAAAAGCAATAGGGATTTTCCCCAAATCCCTCACATCCCACCATCCAGAGTTAAGCACAGCGTGACCTCGGGGAATAGCCTTCCGGTCCCTTGTCCCATGTAGATTGGACAGAGAGTTGACGAAATCACAAATGTAAATTTTTGCTCTTCTTTGCAAATAGAGGTGGTACTTTACCTACAGTCACGGTGGTCATTCTCTCTGCCTAACAGGTCATAAGCACCTTTCCAGAATACACAGATAAGCGTGTCACCTGGAGACCCACTGTATGACTGCTCCATCCAGCCTCTAACAAGCCCCAACGGTCGGACATGCAGTGTATTTCCAAAGTTTCACCAGCATAGGTCATGCTGGAATATGGTCCAGGAGGGAGGGCCCAGTCCGGCCTGTTGGCTGCAGCACCCAAGCACCTGGCACAGAGCTCAGAACAGAGGGCTCCACCAACGTCGGCTGGGTTTGTGAGCCAATGCGAGCCACAGCGGGCAGCCTCCTAGCTCCGCCCCGACCTGGGCCTCTCCGGCCCCCTCTGTCCCCACCAGGACTCTGGGGCCTCAGCCCGCAGCTGCACTCGGGTTCCCCAAGGCTGCCCTAATAGGTCGCCTTGTTCTCTGCTCTTTCCTCCCACCCCTCTTTTCTCTGCCACCCTAACCTCACCCTCATTTCTTCCCAGCCCACTGCACATCTGCCTCAACCCCACTGCCCTCGGAACTGCTCTCTGAGGTCCCCTGCACACCCCAACTCGAGTGCTGGCTTCAGGGCAGCGGTGGACACACTGGGCACCGCCCTCCCCACCCCACACGCCGCAGTGTCTCCCTGCCTCCACGCTGCATGCCACCTGCCTCCTCTCCTGCGGGACTCTGCACTGGTGGGGGATCAGCCCACTTCCGCACCTCCATCACCCCTCAACAGGGAGGTCCCAACTCTAACACAGCCATTCACGAAGATGCCCTGTGCTGCTGCTGTGTGTGGCACCCTCCTAGGACAGACATGATAGGTGCTGATTGTAGGGGGACAGGCCTCAGCCCCCCACCAAGGAATCCCAAGTAAAGAGAAGCTATATCTGAAGCAAACAGCCCCAACCACCTCCATCTGCCAACTCCTAAGGCGCCTCCAACTTCCCCTTTGGAGCCTGGAGCTACTGGTGCCACAGAGACACATGTAGCCCCCACAGCCAGGGTGTGTCAAGGGCTCAGACCAGGGACAGGCGGGAGCTGTGCCAACACACCCACGGCACCTGCCCTAGTCTACGGAGCCATGTGAGGACTCTCGGGGGAAGCGAGGCTTTAGCTGAGCCCTGAAGAATGACCAGGGCTTCCCATTGGGGAAAAGGATTCTGGGAAGTGGACCAGGAAGTCTGAGGAACAGATAGGCCAGAGTGGCTGGAACCAGAGAAAGCGGGAGGCAGGGGAGCCTGAGGCTGAAGCACTGGCAGGGCCCAGGGGGTCCTGGACGTCCCTGCAGCCCAGGCTCCCTCTCCCCCTGGGGCGAGGTCTCAGCAGCCCTGCCAGCCCCATCATCAGCCACATGCAAATGTTTATCCAATGGAGTTCCACAAACTCAGCACCCCAGCTGAGCAGAGCATCTACCCCGGGCCTGCCCCTTCCCTCAGGGTCTTCCCAGGCACAGAGGGGGAGTCCCCAGGATTGTCAAGAACTCCTCCCTCAGCAGCAAATCCTACCTGGATCTCTCCCTTCCCAGCCTAGGGCCGCCCTTAGCCCTACACAGGGTCTTCACCATCTCTTACCTGGGCCGAGGCCCCAGCCCCATCACCTGCACTCAGCTTCCGATCCAGCACCCAGACAGCTGCCCCAAGTTTCCCAAATGCTAAGCCAGATGCGTGAGTGTGTGGTGGGCGGGCGGTGCACACACACACACACACACACACACACACACACACACAAGCACCAGTTAAACATCTTCCCTGGCCCTGATTCAACATTCCCCAGTGCCTGCTGCATGCCAGTATCTGCTGGCACTGGGACACAGCGGCGAGCGTGTCCTTGCCTTCCTGTGGCTCATCTAGTGAAGACAGACATTAACTACATACGTGGTGCCGATAATTAAAGGCAGTCGCGTTTCATGTCAAGGGGCTGCATAGAGATATGGGAGTCTCTTTCAGAGGTCGCTCGGAGCCCTCCGTGGGCCAGCCCCTACCCGCATTTCCAGCTCTGCCTCCCACGACCCTCTCCTCCCCGCTCTGTTCCCAACAGGCCCCCGCCGGATGCCCTTCGTCTGCGCCCATCACTCAAGGTCCCGTTCAAAGGCCACCTTCTCCACAGAGCCTTCCCCAAGCTGCCTCCCGAGTCCCTTTTTTCCACAGCTCGTCCACTGTTTCCCCCATCGGGCTGGAACTTTCTTGAAGACAGGATTCTCACCTTTTTCACCTCCGTTGTTCCCCCAGATGCCTCGTACGTAGCATGTGCTTAATTAATACATGCTGGATTCACCTTTGTCCTCCTTCCGACCCCAACTCTTTCTTGCAGGGTTTTTGTCCCTTAGGAGAGGTCCCTTTGCTCTCACTGCTGTGAGCGTGGTGACCTGCCCCACCCCACCCCCAGAGCCAGGAAGAAACACAGCTGGAGTTCACCTTGTTCCCTGGGGCCTCTCTGGCCCAGGATGGTGAGAAGCCAACACCCCCATCTCCCAGCTCTGGGGACCTACCAACTGACCCTCTGGGGACGACAGTACAGAAGCCATCCTTCCCCGAGCGGGGTGGTCAGGAAGTGCGAATTCTCACCATGTCCTGCCTCCCAGCCTCTCAGCAGGATTCCCACCCTACCCTGAAGCCCCTGCCCATGTCCAGGGTGTCCTACTGCCCCCTTGGACCATTCCACAAACCCACCCCACCCATCTCCTCCTGCCCCTCCCCCACCCTGCCCTCATGGTTCTCCGAAGTAGACCCAGCACTATGCACCACACAGGTGCTGGGGGCCTGCCTTTCCTCCCGTGGCATAGAATGGACAGGCAGCCAGGCACCTTTCCACGGGCTCACTCCCATCAATCCTCTCTCCTGCACCACAGCCTTCTCCGTGCTCCTGGATCATTCCCAACACACAAGACGCAGCATGCAAACTGGCCTGAACATCGCCCCCTTCAAAAGCCTTCCTGACCTTAAGCCCCCCGCCCCCACCCCCGGGTCTGGCCTCTGCTCCCTTTATTAAACTCCTGAGAGCAGAAGTGAGAGGTCCAGATAAAGAGATAAAGGGCATAGCTCTGCCACCAGACTGCTCAGCTCGGCGTTCCTGCTTCCAGGATGCTGGACTTGGACTAGGGACCTCTGTGCTTCTGTGAGCCAGCTTCAGGTCTGTCCCGTTCCCTCCCCACGCTCGCCCCAGCCGCCCCTGCCTCGCCCTGCAGCTCTCTGCGTGGCTCCTGCTCAGGTCTCAGCTCTGGAGTCCTCCGAGGACTTTCCTGACCCTTGTAACTCGAGTGAACCCCCCTTGCCACCCTAACGTCTGTTAGTTTCTTCATAATGCGCTCCTCTACCCAACATTCCAGCATTTGGGGATTTACTGCTGTCACCACACTGAATGAGGAATATGCGGCCACTATTTGTGAAATGAATCTCACAGTCTGTGATTTAAATGTCATTATGCCCATTTTTCAGATCCAGAAGCTGAGGCTCAGAGATGAAGTCGATACTCAGGTACTCCCAGCTACTAAACAGCGGGCCTAGGGGTGCACTCAGGCCAGCCCACCTCCTACAAGGCCTCCAAGGCCAGGAGACAGACCGAGGGTTCCTGTTTTCTGAACACGCATCTGAAGACAGACCAGGCGCAGGAGTGTCTAAGGCAGTGCCTGAGAAGTCACTGGCACAGCGGCCCCCCGACTCCACAACAGGGACTCGAGGGGTGGAGCAGGGAGAATGGAGGGCGCCCACTTAAAAACTGCAGGGGCGTGTTTCACAGCCAAGTCCAGCCCAAAGGCTCCCCCAGATTGTGAGACAGACCCAGGAGTTCAGAGGGGCCGCCTCGCCCAGAACGGCCACCGTTGGCACTTGCTGTGTGCCAGGCCCTGGGGCTGGCGACTTCACGTCCTTCCTGCGCTCCCAGCAGTCACGCTGTGGTTGTCCCCGTTTTCTAGATGAGGAAGCTGGGACCTTACAGCTGCGGGTGGAGACAACTGGGGTTCGAGCCCAGGTCCCTGCTCCCGTGCCTGCTCGGGCGACCATGACACGGTCAGTAGGGTGCCTTCCTGCTGCCCAGCAAAGGAGGCTCACCCCATACCCTAGTGAAACCACTTGGGCCCCACACTCCACGGCCCAAGGGAAGGGACGTGACGGGGGACAGAGTCCCGTGGAGATGGAACGAGCACGTGGCATGAAAAGACACAGATGACAGGTGCGAAACAGAGGCTTTAATCAGAACGGCGATGAAGGCGCTAGGGGCTGGGGCCTGCAGGGGGCGGGGGCGCACGGGCGGGAGGAGCCGGGACGGAGGCGGGCACTGAGCCACGCCTCGAAAACTATTTCTGTGACTCTTGTTCCAGCCTCTGCCCAGGCCATCGGCCCAGATCCGAGAATTAAGCCCCTGAACTGTGCTTCTCAGTGCTCCTCCTTCCCAAGGGTACGTGGACTCAGATATAAAGAGGGAACGGCGGAGAAGGGCAGGCCTGGGCTTGGGCAGGGGAGAGTCTGCTAGAGCCAGGCCTGGGAGCAGCCCTGGAAGAAAACTCTGGAACGGCATGCTGCCCCCAGCATTCCCTAACTCCCCGGGTGGGCCTGCCCAGCCCAGCCCCTGCCCACCCTCAGAACCAAAGTCCAGGCTTGGGGGGCCATCTCTACCGCACCCTGGAGGGCCAAAGGGCAAATCTGGAGAGGTGGAAGGACAAGTGGGCTTTCTGGAGTCCTCCTGCAGCCTGCTCACCCGCCATCCAGAGGGGCAGACAAAGCGAGGCCAAGGGCCTTGCAGAGCGAGGAGCAGCAAGGAGGGGACAGGATGTACTGAAGGAATCCGGGTTCTCTCCAATCGTGATGGCCCCACGGCCGTCTCCGAGTCTCTGCCACCCCCTCCCAGCCAGAAAGAGCTTTGGAAAGGCAGGCCCCACTCAATCGGCCCTGAGCAAGCCCTGCGGGGGCGGGGGGGGGTTGGCTTCCAGGAGCCCAGCGCCTATCCAAGGGGTGGCATCCAGAGGCTACTCTCCAGGATGGGGACAGATGTGGCTATGGCAGGACACCCGGCAAAGCCAAGGGCCAGGAAACAGAAAAGCCAGGATGAGACACTGGACACAGGACCCCACAGACCCAGAGGCAGCCATGCGGGTCACCGGCCAGAAAGGCCAATGCCTCCCCCTGCCTTGCCCCAGCCCAGGCTGGCTACCAGCCTCAGCCTCCGGCCCTCAGGACCCCCAGACACCCACCTAAACATGGCTTAGGAAACTGACTCATGGAGAACAACCGCTCCAACCCCAAGAAAGGCAACGGGACGTGGGAAGGGGAAGCGATGGGAACAGCAAATACCTCCCTGGCCCCGCCGTGCCACGGAACAGCCGGGTCTTGAACGGGACTGGCCAGAGCGGGGAGAGGAAGGCCAGGAGCAGGGGTGCGGCCCAGACAGCCTGTCCCTGCCCACCCCTCCTCGCCCGTGCACCACAGGGGAAGGCAGGAAACTGGCCGCACTTTGGTCACTTCCCCCAACTTGGATCCTTCAGCCTTAATGCCCTGAGCCTTCCTCAACCCCACACTCGCAGCCCACCCCAGTAAACAGCCTCTCATCAAACAGAAAGAACAGAGGGAGGGGGCGGGAGGGGGCCGTGGCCGGGGTCGGGACGGGCAGACACAGGAACGGCAGGCAGCCTGGATGGCTCTGGCTGCTCTGCCCTCCTAGCACGAGGTGACAGGATGGATGGGCAGCAGGCTCCCGAACTTGAAGTGCTGGCCACACTCGCAGCCCACCCCAGTAAACAGCCTCTCATCAAACAGAAAGAACAGAGGGAGGGGGCGGGAGGGGGCCGTGGCCGGGGTCGGGACGGGCAGACACAGGAACGGCAGGCAGCCTGGATGGCTCTGGCTGCTCTGCCCTCCTAGCACGAGGTGACAGGATGGATGGGCAGCAGGCTCCCGAACTTGAAGTGCTGGATCACAGGGAACTTCTCCAGGCACTGTGAGGAAGGGGGAAGAG